TATATATATATATATATGTGTGTGTGTGATATTATATGTATGTAGATACATATACTTTTTCAGTGTAGTTTTTGTTTCTATATTTTGTATAATGTAGGCGTCAAAAGAGCGATTCCATTTTTGCTGTTCACTATTATTCATTATTTTAGCATAATTTCAATAGCTGAAATCTTGATTTCTTTTTTATATCATTTTAATGTTTTTAACAGTATTTCAATCGCAAATCTTTCCTCTTTGCTCCACTAATTTTTATCGAGTAAAATCTCGTATGTAAAACTTGGTGCAAATATATGTTGTTGCATTTCATGAGCTATCCTGTCTTCTTCTTTTTCACTTTTTCCCGAAATAATTTCGTTATTTTTATAAATTTTGCAAATCTTAAATCTCTACTAAAAAAATTCATAATAAATTTTAAACTTTCATCTTCTGTAGGTAAATAATCTTAATTAGGTTTGTACAAATATTATCATCTTTCTGTGATTAATACACATTTGTATTTGCCTACTTTTCCAAAGCTATAATTAATGCAAATAGATTGACTTTGAAATTTATTGATACTATAAGTATCGATTATGTCATTGAACAAAAATGTGTGCACATACTTAGTTGATATATTTGTATATTTTATTATACCGCATTTACGATGTAATTTAGAAAATTAATATAAATATACATATATAAGTATATATAACTAATTTATTAATGAACCATCAATTAGTATTATTGGTATGGAAAATATAATTAAATTTGAGTCGTTATTTCTAATTAAATGTTTAGTATAATGTGCATAGTGTTACCGTGTCACGTATAAATATATAAGTAATAAGATAATTTTTACATTTAAATTAAAACATTTTTTCTTGTAATATTAAAAAACAATAAAAAATAACAACTTTAGACATTATAGCTACGATTATAGCATTTGTACTATTCCATCGAAATACACAATGTTTTTAGATTCTCATCGCTACTAACTAAGAGGCCAGGTCATACAAGAGCAATTACATCTCAGTAAAATGCGCATACGCGAAATACAAACGGGAGTCTTACGCCTTTACGCTCGTAATTTTTAAATCATAGCACATTTGCATCAGGAACCACTTACCTCCGTAATAATTTATCCAATATAGTAGTTTCAAAGCGTTACCTGTAATAAAATAATATGAATAAACCACGCGTGATTCTGGATTTCTACAACTGTCTTCTTTCGACAACTTTGATAATTTATAACATTATAACGTAATTTATAATAGCATAATGGATCGAGCCATTACCAATGACACACAATTTTAAATTTTTCTTGAACAAATGCGCAAAATTAACTTCAAAGTCTATATGAAACCGAGGAAATTGAAGAAGCTTATAATTTGGTAACAAGTTTCGTTTCTACAATATCTATTACAAAGAGATTTTTAAACTTTCTTGATGCAATGATAAACAATGATCAAATTTGTATCCAATTCTACATTACAAATAGCATTTCTTCTGCGATACAATAATTAAGATTTACAGAAATACACATTTTGTTTTTTTTTTATTTTTTAATCGAAAACTAAGCAAAGTGCACACAGATCCCGTCTGCTTTTTTTTTTAAGATACTTTTAAGCTTCGCGGAACACGATATAGTTTATTTATTTCATTTTTGCACGCAGAATCCTTAATATCGAGAAAACTTCAGTGAGAAGCGCTTTGCTGAAACAGCACGGAAAGGTCAAAACGATCGACTTCAAGAAAACGAACGATAGATCAGATATAATGGTTCTGATGGTGTTACAAATATTCTTTATTATTTATATTTCTTTCCACGCTGACTATGATATGTTTCAAATGAGTGAATAATATTTCCGCTAATTCATGCGAGCGGATCAACTAAATTAATTATAGATAATGAATAGAATTAGATTGTTCTAATTGAAAAACTGAAAGACTAAATATCAGTTTTGCCTTTACCTTTCGCAGTGTTAATTTAGAATATATAATATTATTGTTGGAGACAACATATTTATGGTGATGCATTGTGCGATTCACGAATTATGAAGAATGAAAGATGAAAATCCATACATACAAAATGTCAAACAGTCAGATGATTATTTCAACTTTTATATATAAATATGTAAGACGTATTTTATTATAATGATGGCCTGCGTTTTAATTATTATTTGAGAATTAAAAATTTTATAATAATTATTTCATTGTTAAATGTATGTTTTATTGTATAATTGTATAATTTTCTTGGCCGTTTTTGTAAGATATATTAATCTCATTTTCTTGTGGGATATATAAAGATCTGTCAAATATCTTTATACGCTTTTATCTTTTATGGTAACACATTGTATAATGGTTTGTGAAAAAGAAAATAAAATTTTTTATAAAGTCGTTAAACAATCAAATGAAAATATAACTTTTCATATAGAATTTATCAGTTGGTTTGATTTTATCAATCTTTTTCTCGTCATTTTATTAAGTTTAAAATAAATCTTTTAATATATGCAAAGAAGCAATTTTTAGTGCTGATAATTTATACTGATAATTACAATTAGAAGATTTATTATTATCTATTAGATCTTCAAAAAAATGTTTTAATATTTTTAAAAATAACTTATTGTTAATTTACTGAATAGTGAGATAATACTGTTGTTCTTCTTAAAATAACTGTTAAAAACAAATATTTGAATTATGATATCAGTAATAATACAATTATAATAAAGTTGATGAGCTTTTTTTGTGACATAATCGGCTATATAATCGATTATTTCTAAATTTTCTAAAAAATTCCATTTTTGTCCTTTTGCAAAGAAATCATTTATACATTGTAAATATTCAATTGTAATATCATTACAATCGGTAATAAATGATGCTCTCAAGATTCAAACTCGTACATTTACTAAAATATTCGTCAAATCTCTTCCATTGTTATAGAATTGCATTTTATTATGAATGTATTGTCAGATATAAATACAACTGATATGATCAGTTGATTGCAAAACATTTGTTCTAATTTAGGATATGCATTTAATTTTGCTCTAGTTGCTTGAATTTAATTTAACGCTTTTTTATTATAAGCAGAATGTGTGTGTGTGTGTGTGTGTGTATGTGTGTGTGTGTGTGATCAAAGATTTTTTAAAGAAAGTTTCGCAATTTTAATGCTAGCAGTAAAAATCGCGATATGTTATTAATCATGCTCTTCCCAGCTTATTGAATTCAGAATTAACAACCGCGCCCTTTCATACTAGTTAATTTTCTTCAATATTCTTTATTTACTGTCGCGTTCGTTATTTACTATTCTCATTCTCTCTTTTATCTTTTGCTTCCTGCTCTGAAATTGATATTGCATATAAAACTTGATCGCGTGCTAGACAATCGACTACATTGCAAACTAATTGTAAGAGATCAAATTACATTACAAGATGTTGCACCGGTTGCAGCTGGCTTCTTATAATTAATAACAAAGAGATTGATCGCACCGCTGTTACAGCTTATCTCGTGCACCCGTTAAAATATATATTACTGAATTTATTGCCGTCCGCATTGAATCAAAGTTGAATCTCTATGTTTAACCTGATCCGTAAGGACTTGGCAAATCCCAAAATTATATCGCGCTAAATCGTCAATTGTATAATTCATCGAATGTATGTTTTGTACGAGATCGAGATAGGTCGCCATTTACCTTTCTCACATCTGTTAAACAATAACAAATAATTTATTTAATTATAGTTGTGAAATAGCTCGTATCCATATGAAATCTGTACCGTTCCTTTATTCAATTACATTAAATTTTTTCACAATTCTTGCAATTGCCATTTTCACGATTATTCAAATAACGACTCCTAAGCAATCGCTTAATTTAGATTATTACTAAGCATTCAATTAATTTAAACTATTATACTTGTAAAGCAGTGATTATTTTAAAAACGTTTGTAAGGTTGCAAAATAAATTCACGCAGGTTTGCCAGTAGCAATATCTCGCAAGGCATATGTCAAATTATCAGAATTATTAAATAATCTTATTAAATAATCAGATCAGTAGAAATAGGATCGATCGAATTAAAAGAATCAACTCAAGAGAGCAAATTCCAGGAGATAACAAAAAACGAAAAAAGAAAAGAATCGGAGCCTAAGCCAGAACCGGATCGATCAAGTACGAAGATGGAAAATGCCCAACTACGAATCGTCAAAATTAGATCAACTCTTGTCAGAGTTGATCGCAGGGTTCCATCTCGGGGTTTTGTCGAGTATCTTTTGTCTTCAATCGCGGATCGCGACATATACCTAAGTCTACGGCTATCTCTCGAAACAACGAATGCATCACGCCGAGATGCGGAGCATTCTGATTATCATTCGCAAACATCGCGCTGTGTTACTAGTGCCGGTGCCATAATGACACAATTAAAGACGGACTGTTGCTATACAACAATAGCATACGTCTTACGGCGACCTATCGATCTACGAATGTTGACGACCGCTAATGCGACCTTGAAGCGTAAACAACGCTTATTATACGACCTGTTTGTCGGACGGTAACGCCGATGGAACTTTTCTGCCCAGTCAGGTACCTGCCAGCTATGAAAAGGATTTATCGACATGGAGGTGAATCGCTTATATAAATCTATATACTACCAGCACCGGAAGTAAGATGATGGACGCAATTGTTGATGAACTATGCAGTTGGCTGACACCAGCAGAAACGCTCGACGCCATTGCACTTTTACATGCCTCGGGTGTGGGATCTGCAAAGAACATCCGCAAAATTAAGTAAATTAGTAAGTAAAGAGCACAGACTTTTTCTATTATTATACTAGGTGTGCTAACTTCCCACTTTTCCTATGTAAAAGTTGCCTGCGCGCAATGTATGTGCAGAATAAAACCATCATATACAGACAGGAGATGCCAACAGATGATAGTGATTCTGCGATTGGTTCAAAAGTATATAGAAAGCATGCGCAGTATACAAACGTACTTATTCTATGCATGTGATATATACGTTTTGGCAACAGTTAAAGAGACGAGTTAGCAGTCTAGTGTTATAACAGGATGCAATCACCGCTTACTGAGCGCTCAGTAAGTGATTGTAATACTGAATGCACTCATAGAAGTCTGCGGTAAAGGGTGAGCACTTTTCTCTCTCTCGCTCTCTCATGTTCTTAGCTAATTGTAAATACAATTTCACATACAACGAGTTTTTAGGAACGAATTTTTAGGACCAGTTGTTCCATCCTTTGGTAAATTTTACCTGTTGAGTAAGTAGCAAGATTACCCAATCACCTGCGTGGATTATCAGATTTATCTCATAGATAAAATTTACCAAAAGGTGGAACAATCGGCTCTTAGTCAATGCTGTACCACTAACGAGATACTATTAATAATCGTTAACTCTAGGCAAATTTTTGTCCTCACAAAAAAGGGCTCAGAAATAATCGAAAAATACTGATATTGTCGACACTTGATATAAATATAAAATATGCAATTATTAACATAAATATTTAACTAATACTACATAATAAATCATTAAATTCAAATCATTCAAATCATTAAATGATTTTTTTATTATAGGAGTAAAAATGCTTCATAAGTAAGTAGTATATTTGTAATGCTATATGTCACAAATTAAATTTCTTTTTTTCTACTATTATCAATTCTATCGATAATCAAATCCGGACGATAACATTAAAATCACTGTTTTAAATAAACATCAAGTATTATTGAGTTTTACATATATATATATATATGAAACTAAATCATAAAATTAATACTATATTATCAATCCTTTTAAATTTTAATGAACAGCTTGAACAAGGACGAATTCTTGTAAGAATATTAGTCTTTAATAGTATCTTGTCGTGTACAATTTACACAGCGGGGATAAAAGGATTCTTTATTTTCATGAGAAAATTTTTTACGTACCAGGAACACCTTTTAGGCGCGGCAGGAATTCGTTCCAAAATGCACAGGCTGTTGTGCGAGGGCCTCTGCCAAAAGCATTCTTCTTTTCTGCATTCCAAATAAAATATTTTGGATGATTTCTAGTATAAGATGGCCACTCAGTTTCAGTTACTGTTGGCATCCTGAAAAATATATTAAAAAGTAGGGATGTAAATTAGTTATTGAATATCGGATATCCAGAAAGAAACCGGATATCTAATAGGGAAAATATCCGGCCGGATATTTTCCGAATATCCGATACAATCTCCATTTAAATGAAAATTATTTTCTTTATCTCTCCAACGTGAAAAGAAAAAGAGAGAAGATGAATCAAGATATTCAAGAAGTTTAGCCGAAAAGAATAGAATTGAGCATTAATAACGCAAATTTTCACTATAAAATCTCAGTCCGATATATATATATATATATATATATATATATATACACATATTCGGTTATCCGATCAGATATCGAATATTTCTCGAATATTTCTCTAGATTTCTCTATTCAGTATACACCTATTAAAAAGTAAAAATAATTCCGTCTACTAGTCAATTAGGCGAATGTTTCAAGACAAGCATATAGCAATCTAATAATTAATCTTGTAAAAATTGCTAACAAACGTACGATCTCTGTATTTTTCTATATATATTGATTTTTTAAATTTAAAGTTTTAAAAATTGAATCGACATGTTTTCACGCTATTTATTCAGTACTATTTTTTCAGTACTAATTTTTCATGCTCCATGTTGTAGTAAAAAAAGTAGGTTTCAAATATTGCATGGGAAGGTAATATGTTAGTCGTAAACAAAGCAAAAAATAAATCCTATATTTATAGAGAGCGATACGTCATAATAACTTTAAACTTTATTATCATCGAATTTATTTTGCAAAAGGAGAGAAAATTCTTCTTTTTTGCTATAACTTGATATATCTATAAATGAAGAGACATTTTATATAAAAGTTTAAATAATCTTATCATGAATGCAACAAAGCTATATAAAAGATACATTAATTCTACTTTACATTTAATTTTATGCATCAGAGAATATTGTAATATTTGATTGTAATATATGATTTCTTTAATCAATAAATGAGCATTTTTAATAAATTTGAATATTTTTTCCTATTATTTGATCAAAATATATACCAAATAAGACAGTGCTAGAATGTAAGACATAATGTTTGTGCCTAAAATATAATATGGGCTTTCTATCATATAAGCTATTACCTAAACTTTAAGGCTTGAGCTGTGAAAAACTGATCATCAATTACAGTCAATGTGAGAAGAATAATTAATCGACTATAATTGGTCTATTTTTTACTTTAAGAATCAAAGCTTGGAAAGAATAATGGCTTATTATAGAAAACCTGTAATAATTAAGCTGTTTTGACAGATTATAAATTATTAAAAAATATTAATTATTAAAAAATTTTAAAAATCGAATCCCTATACGTTTGTTATAATTCAATGAATTAAAATGTTTAAAATTATAAATGAAAATGTTTAAGATTATATTTATGGAAAAATTATTTTTGTGCTCAGTACGTAACACTAACATTTTCGTATTGACAAATGGAAATTTAAGTTTGGATATGCAACGAGTTTCTGATGAACTTACTCCTTACCTCATAGTTATAATTTGAATTTAAATTAACTTTGTTTCATACATCGAATTCTCCTCTATATGTTGCATCTATGCTGCATCACTTACATTTATAATTTCATGTTACATGAGCGTGCACAATTTTTATTAAGTTTTGTTATCTTGACTATGTATTTAATATGTATAATAACTATAATAAACTAATTAAATATTTGTATATAAATAAAATTTACAATACAAATGAACGAAGAGAAATAATTTATTTATATGATGATGTAAGGTATATATTAATAATTTATTTATAAAATTATAAATACGAAACTAATCTTGAATATTAATGTTTATATGTAGGTGTGATATTGTAAAGTGAACTCGAGTAAGATAGCCATACGGAAAAGATGACCGTATTCCATAATTTTTACAGAAATGGCTATAATATCCGAGTTTATCTCACAGTAGTAACATAATAGAAATAATTTCCTACTACTCTCTAATCAAACATATATAAAAGTTTAACTTATATATTATAAGAAAATACATTGAAAATTTTAATTAAATTAAATTACATTAAATTTTCTAAGATTCACAGTAAAAAAATGTTAATACTTTTACTTTTTTTCTATTTTTTTTATTTCAAGAAATTGGTCATCCAAATAACTGAGTTTATTTTATTTTTATTTTCTTTCTTTCGACAGGTTATACAACAATTTTATCGGATTGTAACGGAATATTACTTTACTAATGGAAGAGAAAATTAAATTATATTTTTATTTAAAGATTAGACTCTTTATATATAATAATAATAATAATATAT